GGGGCGGGGCCGGGGAGGGGGCGGGGTGAGGGGGCGGGGCCGGGGAGGGGGCGGGGTGAGGGGGCGGGGCCGGGGAGTGGGCGGGGTGAGGGGGGCCCGGGGGCGGGGCCGGGGAGTGGGCGGGGTGAGGGGGCCGGGGGCGGGGCCGGGGAGTGGGCGGGGTGAGAGGGGCGGGCTGCCGCGGTGTGGGTCCCCGCCCACTCCAGCCCCAGGAGTCCCTGCGCGCCGCTCCCTCCCAGCGCGTCCGCCGTCCGGGGCTGGGCGTGAGCCGTCGTCCTGGGCGTGCTTTGGGGGTCGCCCTGGAGGCCGGGAAGTAGCCCGGTGCGCGGGTCGGGCGGCCGCTTGAAGGCTCAGACCCGTGATGGCGGGACAACGGGCTCAGGTGGTCAGATGTGGGACACATTTGGGAGGTGAACGCTAGGCCCTACGACGCACTGGATGCGGGGGTGGGAGGAAGCGGCGGAGTCAGAGGTGGCCCCCTGGGGCTTCGGCCTGGCACAGCAGAGGGAGAGCGGCAGCTGTAGTCGGGGCGCCTGGGGGCTCAGTCCTTGAGTTCCCCGCCAGGCTCCGCGCTGACAGCTCGGAGCCTGGAGCTGCTTCGGATTCCACGTCTCCCTCCCTCTCTGCCCCTCCCACATACTTCTGTCTCTCTCTCAAAAATAAACACATTAAAAGAATTTAAAAAAACAAAACAAAAAAGAAGCAGGTGTGGTCAGGGACAAGCTGGCTCTGAGGAGCCACGTGGACATGTCTAACAGCTGGGTGGCCTGGCCTGGTGTGGGGGCAGGTGGCCTGCGGGCGGTATGCGTACACTGGGCAAGTCAGACGGTACTGCGTCTTCAAATCCCAGAAGTCCCACCTCCCCGTGAAAACCCTCTGCCGGCACCACCCTCCCCCACGACAGAACCCAACGTGCCAGCCTCTTCGGTTGGTGACACAAACTGTATTTGAAGAGAAAAGAGCTGGTGATCTTCTAAAAGTGATGAAAGATGTCCAGCGACAGAATCAAGAAGTGTCGCGAAGCCCAAGAGGAAAGGCACGAACAGCGGAACCGAGCATGCGGTGGCAAAGCCCCAGAGCCGGGGACCCTGGCGCCTCCTCAGAGCACACGGACTCCAACAGACGCGAAGACCGCAGAGTCCCAGAAGTAGCAACTGGTAAGCTAGAGTCCTAAACCAGCAAGAAGTGTACTTCAAGAGAGAAGGTCAAATAAAGACTTTTTGGAGAACTGAAGTCTGAGGGCATCGGTCACCGCTGGCCGTCACTTAAGGAAATGGTAACTGGTGTCCTTCAAGTGGAAGAACCACCCAGCAGGCCCAGAGGTACGGAAGGAAGGGTATGTAGCATATAAATCTAATGGGGAGTGATTTGTAAAACAATAGCGGCCCATCTTCTAGGGCTTAGATACACCAGAGAATTCAGGTGCACGATGATAACACGGTAACACGGAAGCTGTGAGCAGCAGACGCAGTGTGAGCAGCTGGCCCACTGCGGTGTCCACGCCTCGTCCCCAGCACCTCTGAGAGTGACCTTACGCGGTGAAGGGACTTGCAGGTGTATTAGGCTAAGGATCCGGAGGTGGTGAGATGATCTGGGATGATCCGGATGGGCCCCATGTGTCATCCCAGCGTCCTAGTGAGGGGGAGGCGGGGGGGGGGGGGGGGGGGGGGGTGCGGTACTTGACAGGGAGGAGGCCGAGTAAAGACCGCAGGAGAGATGGAGAGATTTTAAGATTGTTCTAAAGCATGTGCTCAGGATTTATTGTCACCTGGTATCTGAGACGGGGAAGTGATTGCCGTGAGGGACGAAGTTCATACAGATCCCAAGAAGCAGGAGGCCGGACGCGCAGCTCAGTGGCACCCAGAGATGCGAGGGGTGGGGGACACAGCCCAGGGCCCCACCCGCCGCGCTCCGGTACACAGACGCTGGGCGCGGCTCCTCTTACGCACAGGGAAGGGCAGTGGGGAAACTTTTAAAGTTGGTGCAGAAGTGTGAGTTGGGCAAAGGGCCCTTCATCAAGGGACTTTAAGGCCTGGGGCAAGACAGTGACAAAGTAGCGTCTGTTTGTCGGGCTGGGAAGTGAGAGTGAAGAGACCCTGACGTGTCTCAGTGAAAGTGGCTCTGTGGAGCATGTCAGGGACATGGCAAGTGACCTGTGTCTGTTACTGTGTTGTAACGTCCGTAACTCCAAAGGGAATGAGTATGTCTTGGCCGGAACTCGCACTGTGGCCTTGGCCCAGCTGGAGACGTGTGATTCTAAGTCGTAGTCTTGGCATATGTGAGGCAAGAGGTGCCCAGCGTTCTTTACTCTTGAGCGCACAGTTTAGGCAACGGCCACGGGAAGACGGGCTGCCATTGGCCGGCGCATCACTGCCTACTGGACTGCGTGCGGTCTGGCCAGAGTGCTGGCCCTTGGGTCTGTCCCTGCTGAGGGACGCCCTGGCAGCCGAGCTCCGCTGGTGCCGCCACACGTGGTGGCTGGTGGCGCTGTTGGCATGGCCCGCTGGCTCCTGGGGTTCCGCGTCCCATCCGGCTCCCGGACGGCCGGGGTCTGGGGAGGAACGTGTTGCCAGCCAAACCCAACACGACCGAGAGCTGTTGACCCTGCGTCCTAATGACTCTGCCCCAGGACCCTTGGAGGAGAGCGGGGGCTGGGGTCGGGGTGGCGGGACGGGGCAGCGCCCACGGGCAGCCCTGGGATGAGCACCGGGTCCTTCCAGGGGTGGCAGTGGCTGCGGCCGATTGGTCGCTGAAACAGGCACGGAGCTGGACGTCCAAGGTTGCGCGGCGCTCACACTAACGGACCGGCCTGGGCACTCACTGGGTGTGCAAATCTGCCATCAGTCCCTCAGGTTTTCCAGGTGACAGAACAGGCACACTTGGGCCTGTGTTTTCTCCCCGATGTCGTCTTTTTCTTTCTTTTCTCCCCTCTTTTTTTCCCCTCCGCATTTGAGGCTTTTCATTCCTGCGTCTGGAGGCCTGGGGGAAGCGGCGGGAAGGGCCTGCGGTGGCCTCTCCCTGGGACGGGCCCCAACCGTAGCAGCCACCTTTCCCGTTTCTTCTCTTCGGCAGAATCTTAGTTTTTCCTCTTTTTAAAAAGTATTGTTTAATTTAAAAAATGTTTTTAATGTTTATTTGTTTTTGAGAAAGAGAGAGAGAGAGAGCATGAACAAGGGAGGGGCAGAGAGAGAGGCAGACACAGAATCCGAAGTAGCTCCAGGCTCCGAGCTGTCAGCACAGAGCCTGACGTGGGGCTTGAACCCAGGAACCAGGACATCATGACCTGAGCCAAAGTCGAGCGCTCAGTCGACAGCCCTCCAGGTGCCCCTTTCCCTCTTAAACAAAATCTGGCTTGTATCTCTAGGTAGGTAAAAACTTTTTCCCCTTGACTGTTTTTGCTTATTTTCTCCACTCTCGATGCTCTGGCATTTAGGGCCCTGGGCCTGGAGAGGGCCTTTGTAGCAGACAAACCAAGCAGAGCCCGCACCCCCAACCTACCCTTCATCTGCCTCACACACCAAGCCAACACCCCCCCACCAGTCACCCCACTCTAGCCTAGGCCTGTGGAAATCATCCAGCTACCCAACCCTAACGTACTCTCTGGGCCTGCTGCCTGCCCGTCCCTTCCCTCGAAGAGCCCAGTGAGGGTCCTGGGCCACGTTCCCTTTGCTTCTGCTCCTCCTTCCCGACCCCTACTGGTGCCCCCCCCCCCCAGCCCCGCTTGCTGGGAACCCCTCTCTCTTGGGAAATGTGAGTAATTATCCTTTCAGACAGTTGTTCCCATTTCTGTCCCTTACGTATCTGATTAAAACAAATCCTGGGTACAAACTTCAGAGCAAAGATGCTCTACTTTGATGACGGAGGAACGGGTCATGAGCACAGGAAGGCGAGGAGCACAGCTTAGAAGGTGGAGCAGGCCGGCCGGCGGCCTCTGAAGGGAGCATGGTCCTGCCCACCCCTTGAGCACATGCAGAGGGATTCTGTCATCGGATCAGGACCGTAGAGCCACTGGCGGAGACTGCGTGGCACCGGCCAAAGATGGGCAGGGCACCACAGGCCCACACAGTGGCATGGACTCAGACACGGCCTTGGTCATACGGTCATCTGGTTTCATACAGTTTGCAGCACAGCAGTTCCCACACTATCTTAAGTTCCCCTGTCACTTCCCCTGCCCCCCCCCCACCCCGCCGTGGTTCTGGGGAGGGGGAGGCTTCTTAGGATCTGGTCAAGGGGAAGCTGAGCTGTGGAAACATCACTTAGGGCTTAGCTGAGTATATGTACGTCCTTCCTCGTCCCTTCCTTGCACAGCAAAGGTAAATGCCACACACCCTGGCACAGAAAACAGCTTCCAGAAACACCCTGGAAATTAGCCAAAAGGGGTGACTCACACGGACTTTTGGAGCGAGATTAAACATTCTGCTGATTTAACAGGAAATGCTGCCATCAAGATAACGTAGAGCCCTAACAGCCAGTGAGACGGGGACATGCTGTAAGGAGGTTCATCGGATCCGTAAGGGCATTTGCGATTAGTCACCACACAAGAAAATGCATCATCCCAAGACTTTCCAGCTTGTAAATGAAACAAACTTGTCAAAGTTCTCCCCAAATTTGACTGTAGTCTTAACAGTGGGTATGAGCTGTGAGTAATGAGTTGCCAAGTGAGGACTTTTGTAAAACAACAGTCACAATTTTGTTTTTAATCTGCTGTGTTAGAGACACTGCTCCCCTTTTCCTTTGTCCTTGGAAAGTAATATCACAAGGTTGTTATAAGAAGAGACGATAGGAACGGCTGGGGGCTCAGTCAGTTGAGCATCTGACTTCGGTTCAGGTCATGATCTCACGGTTTGCGAGTTCAAGCCCCACGTTGGGCTCTGTGCTGACAGCTCAGAACCTGCTTCAGATCCTCTGTCCCCCCGTCTCTCTGCTTCTCCCCTGCTTGTGCTCTCCCTCTCTCTCCCTCTCTCTCTCTCTCGAAAATAATAAACAATAAAAAGAAGAAAAGACAATGCAAACTGTAGATGAAAAATATATCATAGTGGAGTACCATGCAGTTATGAATAAAAATTGTGGTATTTTCTGGATTTTGTGATGTTTGTGTCACGAGGTCAATTTTTTAAAGATTGATTTTTTTTCTCTCATTCTAAATAAATATGTATTTACTTCTATCAAAATTTGCATTCTTTCCTAAAGGGAGAGGCTGCCCCAAACCTGGACAGGCTCAGGACCATGCTCACCTGGTGGCAGTGAGGGGACACTGCCAGCCTGGGCCTGGCCGACTTGCAAATGAAAGGCAAACACTTCCAAAGCAGGGGGCATCTCCGTGGCCTGAGGGCAGGCGGGTACTGGGACCGACACAAAGGCCCTCAGCAGGTGAGCCGAGGGACAAGGTGAAAACCTCAGGCGGGTGCACCCACAGCCACCACTGAAGGAGGGACGAGCCCTTCCTGTTGGGGGGAATGGGGTCAAACTTCAGTCTTCGCGGATCCTCTCATCGCAGACTCACCTCCTCGCTAGCGCTTCTTGTGACCCCATGATGAGTACTCCCGGCACTTCCACGGTCACTGGGGGATGACACAGGGCAGTGAAAACTCAGTCTCCCGACAGGCGACAGGCACGAAGGAGGCCACGCCCTGTCTTCTGGTTTCAGCGCACACTGTAAACACGCGTCCCTTTGCTGTCTGTCTAGCGCGACACTGCCCACATTTTGGTGCTTTTTGTTGGTGACTCTATTGCTTGAAATGTCCCCCACCCCCGCCCCTGCCATGTGGTGCTGAAGTCCCCCTCCCCCAGCCCTGCTCTAAGCGCCAGAGCCCGTGCTGTGCCTACGGAGAAGACCCTGCGTTGGGGGGGCTGCGTTGGGGCGCGAGGTCCGGTGACGCTGGCGTCGTGGTTCTGTGTTGATGAGTCAACAGCATGTTAGATGAAGTGTGTTTAAGCAGAAGTACACACAAAACACGGCGCTGTGTTTGACCCGCTGACGAAAACCTGCCCAGAGGCTCCCAGGAAGCTGACCTGCATTTCCCCGGGAGCCGGTGTTCGCCGCCTCGCATCCCGTGTTCCGTTACCGACGGCCGCCGATGGTGAGCATGGACTGCAGTTGATAAAATAACCACCTCCAAAATATGTAAAGAACTACAAATCCGTAAGAAAAAGATGCTCAAAAGAAAAATGATCAAGGCACTTTAGAGCAGAGCTGCAGGGGGCGGAGGAATCTGTGAGGAGGGAAAGGCCTTCCTCAGCACCCAAGGGCAGGGCCGAAAACCACGCAATCCCCCTGCGCTCCTACCAGAAAGGCGGAAATGGTGGCGCTGTTAGTGTCCAGGGCTGTCACCAACGTGCGGAAGAGCGAATCCACCCTGCTGGTGGACGCAGACACGTAGCGGGTCTTCCGGCCCAGCAGCGTGAGCCCAGTGGGCACGCGCATGCACGCGACACACGCACACGGAACGGAGTTCCGGAAACATCTTACAGGATGGCCAAGGTCGGGCAACAATACGCAACTACACACAGCGTTTCTGCGCCGTGAATGTGCACCAGCAACAGACACCCCTGAGGGAGCTCAGAATAAAACAGGACTGACAGATAGGGGCGCCTGGGTGGCTTAGTCGGTTAAGCGTCCGACTTTCGCTTAGGTCATGATCTCGCGGTTCGTGGGTTCGAGCCCCGCGTCGGGCTCTGTGCTGACGGCCAGCTCAGAGCCTGGAGCCTGTTTCAGTCTGTGACTCCCTCTCTCTCTGACCCTCCCCTGCTCACACTGTCTCTCTCTCCCTCTCTCTCCTAGAAATAAATAAAAATATTTAAAAAATAAATAAATAAAACAGGACTGACAGGCGTCCCCAGCACAGCTGGCCCACTCCCGCGCCCGGTCTCACAGGGCCCTGTAACAAAGCACCACCAACTGGTGGCCGCGGCAGCACACAGTTGTTCTCTACGGAGAGACTTCATTTGCCGAAACTCTAACCCCCATAGGTTGGTATTTGGAGGGGGGCCTTCGAGGGTAAGTCACGTGGGGCAGGGTGAAGTGCCCCTATGAGACACGGGAGAGCCCGTTGTCTCTGTCCCCTGCCATGTAGCGAGCCGTGGTGAGAAGGCCAGTCTGCACCCCGGGAAGAGAGCCCTCACCGAACCTGACCCTGTGGCCCCTCCAGCCTCCAAGACCGAGCCCGTGGTGTGGCTGTGGCGCCTGAGCTGAGCAAGCCAGCGAGGGAGGGGAAGGGGGGAGAGACCACCTGTATGCCCAGAGCCATCCCCGGGAGCACGGATGCGGTGCGGGCCCCCCAGACCCTAGAGGGGCGCCCCGCTCCCGGCAGAGACAGTTTTCCGTGTCAGCCAGAAGCTGGTGATTATTTTGAAAGGTGTCTGTGTTCCAAGAAGTCGGTGGAAGGTTGGCAGAAGTGTGCTTGCCATGTCACTGACATGCTGTGTCAGAGAGCACAGTGCGGCTCTGCAGAAAGGGACCCACGCGATTTCCTCTTTTCAGGGAGTTTCCCCTGCCCTCCACATTATCACGAATGGAGAAAGATATGTCCCCCAGTCCTGTTTCCTGAGCGGTCGGCTGTAGTTGGGATGCCGTGGGGCCACCTTCCACAGAATCCTCTGCCTTCTCCCAGGCACATGGGTCCCAGCCCCCCCGGGGCCAAGGGGCAGCGCAGTCCTGGGGCCTGGCTCTCTGGCCTGGCCCTCACCTGTGACTTGCCACCTGGTTGAGGGCAGGTTTGGGGAGCTGCGTGGGTTGAAGCCAGAACGGGGGAGATGAGGAGACCAGGGCCTGTGCACCCTCTGTTTCCCACTGCTTGGATGCCTGCCTGCTGCCCCCAGGCCTGCCCCTCCTGGGCGCTCAGTCCTGGCTCCGTCCACCCACAGCTGACTGGCGTTTCCAGGCTGTTTTTCAGGTTGCCGTCTGTCAGCCCCAGAACCAGCTCCAGGAGGGCAGACCAGCCGGGCAGCACCTGGGGTGTGCAGTGGGTGCAGCTGCTGGACGAATGAAGGCCCCTCCCGGGACTGAGGGCCGGCACCCTCCACCTTCTCAGGACCCTGGCTCTGGCACCGCCCCCCCTCTCCGGCCCACGCCTGGACCCCCCTTCAGTCAACTAGGGCATATTACCCTCTCTGTTCCTCCCTCGACAGGCCCCACACACATCCAGCCATTTTCTTGGGAGCATGTGTGGTCACTATGCCCTGTCCTGGGACATTATTCTGCCCGGGCTGTGGCCCCCACCCTGCTGTGCCCCCCACCCTGTGTTTCTGCTCCTTTGGGACCCTGGGGCTCTACTCTTCCCCGCAGCCCCGAGACCCCCCCTGCAGCCTGTGCTCATCGGGCCCCCGCGGGTGCCTCGCTGGAGGACAGCCCAGGAAGGCACGGCTGGACTAGATGGGTCCCCCCAAAAGCCCCTTGGCCCACAGCGCCCAGCTCGGCCGTGGGCATTGCAGTCTGCGGTCAGGCCCACAGAAGCAGGGCCCGCAGAGTGCCGGCAGGAGATGGGGCCAGGGTGACCTTTGTGGACACGTCCCCTACATGTCCCCAGAGCCGCCTTGACAAGACAGAGCTGTGCGAGCTCCGGAGGCCCCTTCAGGGAGCCAGCCGTGTGGGTGGAACTCACTGCTTTCCCTGGGAGTGTGGTGGCGGCGGGTCCTTCCCACCGGGCAGGAGCTGAGGGGGTCTCGAAAGCACCAGACGGGAGCCAGCGGCCAGGGCCCGGCGGGAGGGAGGCTGGCCCCTCAGGCTTCTACCCGGAGAGCTGGTGCAAAGGGGTGCCGTCTGGGAACAGGCAGGGCGGCGACATCAGCGTGGGGAGGGGGGATGCAGGCCGTGGCTGTTGCTGGCCTGGACCCTCATGAGGTCCCCATCTGCGCTGAGGACCCCGCCGGGGCCTGTGGGTACTCGGGGTGAGGCAGGGCCCACGCGTGCGAAGACAGTGGACGGGGTCGTCCACGCACAGCTGGCGGAGACACGCAGGGGAGGCAGGCCTTGGCTCCCGACCCCACCCTTGGGTCCCTGAGCAGGGCCGCGTGCTCGCCCGGCCGCCCCGCGCTACGGCGAACCGCTGGCGGGACCCCGGTGCCGCGTGGGGGGTGTACGCCTGCGCAGGCGCGGGTCCGGGCGCTGCAGGTTGTCGGCGGCTGCGTGCGCGGAACGCGTTCCCGACTCCGGGCGCAGGCCGAGCCCAGGCCCATCCCCTGCCCTCCAGGCCGCCCTGCGCCCCCACTCCACCCGGGCTCGGACCCCGGCCCCGCCGGCCGTCCTACCCGCCCCCGGCTCCCGCATCCGCCCCGCCCTGCGGGCCCCGCCCCCGGCCCCGCCCCAAGCCCCGCCCCAGCAGGCCCACCGCCCCACCCGGGCCCCGCCCCCACCCGCCGAGCCCCGCCCCTCAGGCTCGCGCCTGCGCGGTGGCGGCGGGCGCAGTCGGAAGCCAGGCGCGGACAGCGAGGTCGGCGGGGAGGCGGCGGCCCCTCTGAACCGCAGCGCGGACCCGGCTCTCGCCCGCCGCCGGGGGTCGGGCCGCCCTGGGCAAGGATGGCGGCGGCGGCCGAGCCCCGGGCCCGCGCCTGGCTCGGCGGCAGCACGCCGCGCCCGGGCAGCCCGGCCTCCAGCCCCGAGCTAGGCGGCAGAGGCCGCGCGCGGCCGGGGCCGGGGCCGGGGCCGGGGCCGGGGCTGGGGCCGGGGTCGGGGTCGGGCCCGGAGCGGGCCGGCGCCAGGCCCCCAGGCCCCGCCGCGACTGGCCACAGCTTCCGGAAGGTGACGCTAACTAAGCCCACCTTCTGCCACCTCTGCTCCGACTTCATCTGGGGGTTGGCCGGCTTCCTGTGCGACGGTGAGCGCCCGCGACCCCATCACAGACCCCAGGCCCCGGCCCAGAATGGGCTCCTCACCTCTGACCATTCCGAGCGAAGGCCTCTTCAGGACAGAGCCCCTTGCCCTAAAGGGCAGGATCGTGCTGGCCCCAGAACCTCTTCCAGGGGCTCGAGAGCGTCAGGTGGTCGTGGCCCCTTCCCCAGGACTGGGGGTCTCAGGAAAACGCTGCTCCCTGGGCTTCCTCACTTGGGCTGGGATTCAATGGGAGAAGAGCATGTGGGCTGCGTGGGGCAGGTGCCGTGACTGGGGGATGAGACCAGTTCACCCTGAGCTGGTGGGACTGCGCTGGGACGCTCACTGACATCAGCTGGGGCAGCAAAGGCAGCAGTGTGGACAGGCAGGGCTGATCTGGGCCACTGGCTCCTGTGTCTGTCTTGCCTTGCATGCAAACTGCTGCCCGCAGGGGCCAAGTGCGGCATGCCCCAGCAGGGCTCCCCCCTAGCTGCCAAGCTGGCTGGCTGGCTGGGCTTGGAGGCCCTCCCTCCTCTGGCGCTCGGGCAGAGAGGGTGCAGCCTTCCAGGGTCTGCTCTCTCGGGGTCCTGCTCCCTCTGGCAAGGGCAGGTAGGTGGGCCCGGGGCCACAGCTGCCCAGGGCTGTGGAAGGCGGCAGGTGGAGAGCCTTTGCTCCACTCAGGAAGACAGGCTTCTGGCCGTGGGGACAGAGGGGCCACTTAAGGTTTACAGAAAAGGCTTGACCAGGTAGAGGCGACTGGATCTCTCACGTGGGATGCCTTCTTTCTGCCAAAGAAAATGGCATGGTTGACCTGACCCCCCAGTGCTGCACCAGGCGGCCTGGCCAGCTGGCCTGGGGGGAGTCACCCCTGATTTCTCTCGTATCAGAAACCCTGCAGTGCCCCACCTTCTCCCCGGCCGAGACTCAGCTGAGGTGGGAGACATGCATGTGCAGGCTGAGTCAGCTCCAGGTCAGAGGCTAGACTGCACCTCCCCTCATGGATGTGACCTCCTACAAGTGGGGCTCTGGGTCTAAGGGGTGAAGCAGCTCGTGGAGAGAGGCGGGGCTTTGGGGCTGATGTGGCGGCCTTCACTGGGCAGCTGTGTGGACGCCCTCCCCCTGCCTCTGTGGAGAACGGGACGGCAGTTTTGGTAAGCAGAGGGACCAGGCAAGGATGTGGGAGCAAGAGCCTCCTCCCCGGGCAGGGAGCACCCAGGATGTGGGATGTGGGGTGATCAGGCACTACCTCCACCGGCCAGAGGAGGGAGCTGGACAGCACTGGTTTGGGTGCCCTGCCTCTGCCTCCCCACCTCTTCCCTCTGACCCCGGCCCGGTGTGGTGTTTCTGAAGCCTGGACTCCGGGCTGCCCTCGCCGGCCTCCTTCTGGGGACCAGGCAGGTGGGGTTACAGCGGGTGAGGTGGTGGTGTCTCAGGGCCCCTGTGGTCACACTTTGCACTAGGCCATGTTGGGAAGTGAGTCCCTCTGCCACCTGCCCGCTTCCCAGCCCCCAACAACCTTGTCCATCCCATCCTACGCCAGAGGGGCCAGCCCGGGGCCCCCGCCCCCTCCCTGGGCCCACTCGCTGCTCCATGTGCTGCCAGAGGCCGTGTTCTCTTGCACTCCCCCCTCCTCCTGTCCGTGGCCCGGCCTTAGTCTGGCTGTGCTCTCTGGCCTCCGTCTCAGTGGCCGCCCCTGCCTCCCCAGGATGGCTGGCCCCCTGGAGCACAGCACATGTCTGAGCACTCGCTGCCTTTGGAGCCTCGGGCAGGGACGGGTGCAGCCACCGCTCGGCTGGCCCTCTGCCTGCCGCGGGCTCCTGGCCCATCGCAAACTGGCTCTGGTCTCAGCAGGCACGTGATGTGCGGGAGGGGTGATTACGGGTATTTAGAGTTGGGGGGTGAGGGAAGGATGTCCTTGGTGAAGCTGGTCTGGGGGTTGTGCAGATGCCTGCTTGCCTGCCTGCCCCTCAGGACCAGCCGAGTGGAAAGAGAGCTGGCCTGGTGCAAGGGGCAGGGGCCACTCTCAGGACTCGAGGACACGCCGTCAGCCCTGCTGTGGGCTCTCTGGGCGTGAGAGGTGGGGTGGGAAAGAGGCTCAGGGTGTCCACGGTGCTTCCGGGGATTGCCATGCCCTCTCTCTGCCCCTATGAGTGTGGAGATGGTGGGAATCCCTTTCCCCTTTATTCAGGGCTGGGTTAGAGCTAGGGGGTGGGCTGCGGTGACTCACCCCATCCTGACCCCTCAGCTCGGCAGAGCAGGCCCGTCGCGGTGGGTGCACTGCCACGGCCCTTGGTGGTTCTGCTGGCCAAGGCCTCCCTTCTGCATGCCAAGCCCTGGGGTCTTTTGATTCCTGGCGGGATGGGGCCCGACTCATGTGGCTCTCACCCCACAGTCTGCAACTTTATGTCCCACGAGAAGTGCCTGAAGCACGTGAAGACCCCCTGTTCGAGTGTGGCGCCCAGCCTGGTCCGAGTGCGTACGGGGTGCAGGCTAGCAGCCCTGCGGGGAGTGTGGGGGGCGGGGGGGAGGCCGTGGCGGCAGGTCCTGGGCCAGGAGTCAGCTGGCTAGCCGGATGGGGTGGGTGGGAGCGCACCTTTGTACTGGTTTGGGTCCCGAGGATGCTGACCGCATCCCTGCTTGGGAGTCCCTCCCGGGCACCAGCCTGGCCTCGCTTCCTGCTGGTTGTGACCCCTCCCGCTCTGAGGTCCCTGGCGCCTGGCACTGCCCCTTTGCCTGTTGGTGGGCCTCTGTCTGTGTGCCCTTCATCCAAGTGGCCCCAAATATGTCATGGGGGTGGGGGGAACAGGCCTGGCGGAAGCAGCCAGTGCCCGGGCTTCCTGCACAGTACGGCCGAACCAGGCCTGGGGGCCCGGGCAGGTCCAGCACGGCTGTTCTCTGCAGAGGGGGCCGCCTGGCCTCAGGGCAGCCGGGAGCAGCCTGCCCGTGGACAGTGCGGCACCTGGAGACGTGGGCATGCTGGGCAGTCCCAGCAGGACCCCTGGGGGGCACAGAGGGGCTGGGGAGGAGCGGGGCGACTGTAGGGGTCAGGCAGCTGCTGTGGGTGGCCCTGGGGGCTCTCTGGGATGTAGAGGACTAGGCCTGGGGGCCTGGATGGGCACCAGGGTTGGGGGGAGGGCACTGGTGGGCAGGCCCCGGGCTGAGGCGGAGCTCTGCTCCCTCTAGGTCCCAGTGGCCCACTGCTTTGGCCCCCGAGGGCTCTACAAGCGCAGGTTCTGCGCCGTGTGCCGCAAGGGCCTGGAGGCACCCGCGCTGCGCTGCGAAGGTACTGCCCAGCCTGCCTGGCTGCCCTCAGGTCCCGGCCCCTCACCGGGGTCCCGGTCTCCCTGGGGCCCGGTGGCTGGGGGAGGTGGGGTGGCGCCCTGGGCACTGCTGCGGGGGCACGTCTGTGGGTCTGGAGCTGTCTGCAGAGGGAGGCAGGTGCAAGGGGCCAGGTAGGGAGACGTGAGGAAACGGCGGGGAGTGGGGGCACTGAGCCTGCCCCGCACTTGGAGAAGGAAGAGGAAGTGTGTCCAGAGCAGGAGGCCTGGACCCAGCCTTGGCAGAGATGCCGGCCAGAAGGCGGCGAGAGGCCCTTAACCCTGCCCACCCCCCAGTGTGTGAGCTGCACGTTCACCCCGACTGTGTGCCCTTCGCCTGCAGCGACTGCCGCCAGTGCCACCGGGACGGGCACCGGGACCACGTGAGTGCTCAGGGCCGGGGCTCCTGAGGCTGGGGGCAGGCGAGGGGCGCTAGCTGGGGGACTGGCCAAGCCACTGACGCCCCTCCGCAGGACACACATCACCACCACTGGCGGGAGGGGAACCTGCCCTCGGGTGCACGCTGCGAGGTGTGCCGGAAGACGTGTGGCTCCTCCGACGTGCTGGCGGGTGTGCGCTGCCAGTGGTGTGGCGTGCAGGTGGGGCGCGGCAGAGTCCTGAGGGGCGCAGGGGGCAGGTGGGGCGCGGCGGGGTCCTGAGGGGCGCAGGGGGCAGGGGCGGTGGGGGGGACAGGTGGGGCGCGGTGGGGTCCTGGGGGTGTTGGGGACAGGTGCGGTGGGGGGGACAGGTGGGGCGCGGCGGGGTCCTGGGGGTGCGGGGGACAGGTGGGGTGAGGGAGACAGGTGGGGCGCGGCGGGGTCCTGAGG